TCTTTAAAGAACTGAGGTGTCATTCTCATTAGGTTGAGTCAATATCCTTCAGTAATTGAGTTCTACATTTGTGCTAGATAAAAGGGACTGTGTGACTGTGTGTGTGTGTGTGTGTGTGTGTGTGTGTGTGTGTGTGTGTATGTGTGTGTGTACTGTGCCTGCTACAGCAGGTAAAGGTCAGAGGACAACTTGCAGGAGTCTGGTTTTCTCCTGTCTAGTGGGCCCTTGGGATCTTAAACTCAAGTCATCAGGCTGAGGGGTGAGTGCCTTTACCTGCTAAGCTGTCATATTGGCCCCAAAGTGACTCTGATGTTCCATCAGAAACACTACGGAGCTTCATAGAAGGTGCTTTACAAGGTGTCTGTGGGGGAAGCATGTAACATCTGTGTTCTCTGATGACTAGGTTGAGACTTGATGGGAGATTTTCCATAGTCTTGCTTAGAGAAAGCCAAAATGGATACTACCATCGTAATTTGCTTCCTGCTATTGTCATTTTTAATAGCAGGGGGCTTAGCGGTGTGGTCTGTGGGTCTCAGTTGAGGATCTTGAAATCAAGATTTTGATCATAATCACTTTGTCTCTGCATTATTATTATTATTATTATTTTACAAATCTCAAAGGATAATAGAAATATTTGATTGTGAAAATAATCCTTAGCTTAATATTTATTTGATACCTCAAAGTAATGATTTCTTTCTTTCATTCTCTCGTTCCTTCCTTCTTTCTTTCTTTTGCTTTGGTAGCACTAGTGATAGAATCCAGAGTCTCATGCACTCTATCTCCAGCCCAACATTCTGTATTTCTAACTGTGTAGTCACTGGGGTTCTTTATATTGTATTCCTATAGGAATAAGCATCAGTGTTGACAGATGGAGGACAAGTGAAGTACAGAAACAATAATAACATCGCTGGCAGTTTTTCACTAATGATTTGGGCTTCAGTTTTTCATCTAGAGATTGGAGTGATATTGGTGACTACATTAAGATGAAGTGTTAAAATACATATGAAGTGTGTATAGTTCACCATACCTGGCCAGGACACAAAGATTCTGTGTATCTAGTTGCCACAGTAAGTATTCTTCACAAATCATCTCACCCGCTCACAAAGCCCAAGTTTATGAAACAATTATTTTTAGTTTCACTCTTGCCAAGGAAGAAACTAATGAACTTGGAATTTTAAAATCTGACTGGTTCAGAGAAGGAGTGAGTAGCTCTCCTAGAATTTGAAACTTTGACCTGTCTGACTCAAAGCCTGATTTCAAGCATTACTCTCATTTAATCTGATTTCTATGATTCCTAATTCTATTATGTTGCACTGACAGTCAATGTACTAAGTCACACATTCAGAAATTCTTATGAAAATAAACCACTTAGGTTGCCTTTGATTACTCAAAGTTGATGTTTTATAATGTCAGTACACACTAAAAGTATTTTTAATTTAGGTATTTCCGTATTATTAACAATACACTGAATTTTACTGTTATATGAACCGTTGACTAAAAAAATTATTAGGGTCTCCAAATGATTAGAATTCTACTATATTTATATCACAAATATAACATACTTAATTAAGTTTCTCACTTTTACATTGAACTATTTTATGCAAGTCACTCCTGTACAGGATTATGCATAGAAACCATCATTATTCTTTTATTTGGTTTTCACTTTAAGACCTTAAGTGATGATGCATTAATTTGGTATAAATGTGAATAAAATATATTATATTTAATAATTCTCTTAAATTTAATTAATTTTTAAGTTTAAGGTATATTGTTATTTAAGCATCTTTTAAGTATGTATTAAAGTATATTTTTTTCATTATGAAACATCCGAAATTAAGTTTTTAAAGTACTTTATTTTTTACTTTTTTTGGAAGGGAGACAGGGCAGCAGGACATCCAATGGGAGGGCAGACCTAGAATCATGGAAACTCACTCAAAAGCCAACAATTAGTAACAAGAACAAATGCACAGCAGTGTGTTTGATTTGAAAATTTTGGAGGTCAATGAGAAAACTTTCAGAACCAGTCCAAACCATGCAAAAACCAAAATGAAATAGCCTGTGGCTTAGCCTTTTAAATGGACAAGAGAGAGCAGGCTTCACCTATAAATAACCCCAGAGTGATTATAATGTTCTGCTTTGTGACAAGATCACTTGGCCACTCTACTATGTAAAATTTACACCACGTAGTAAGTGAGGCAATGGTAACTCACTCATGCCAAGGAATGACAAGAAGTTAAATACACAAACGACCAAGAACCCCCTCACAGCATCCCTACTTCATGCACCCCAAAACTTCTGTCGACTTCTGTCATCCATCCACTTCTGCATGTCCCCTTGCCCTGATGGCTTCAACTTTAAATTGCCTTTACATTCCCTAGTTCAATACAATACTTTCATAGATATGTAGTATGCAAAAGGAAGTTTAATTTCATATTAGGGGAATGGGAGCAGGATGAAACAGGACCATACAGTTAACACACAGCAACTTGTTGTCATGAGCTTGTTATTATTCCTCTCTGTTCTTTACTTCCTGACCTTTAGCTGACAGACTATTCCACTGCTTTGTTGAGTCCTTCTCCTTTTAACCTCCTGTCAACAGATTCCTAAATGAAGATACAAACTCCAGGGTGCCATTCTCAGGGTTATTTATTTATAGTGCTTTCTAAAAATTTGATAGCATAAAACTATGAACAGTACATAAACAGAATGTAAGAGTGTGAAGTGCATGTGTGTGAAGTGCGTGCATGCATGCGTATGCATGTGTGTGTGTGTATGTAATTCTTGAATAAGACACAAGATATAGTTTCCAAGGGGAGGCTCCTTTTTGCTCTGATATTTAACAATTGTTAGGTCTAGATCATATATAAATTAACTCATGAGACTTAAAAATCATCATAAGGCACAGTATCTAAGAGTCCTCCTTCACATGTCCAGCTCTGTGTGTGTTCTTTGTACTTAAAGACCTAACAAGAAAAGGAAAGGCCTTAGTTCTTCACATCTGTGTTTTTGTTCACTGATCACCATTATTGTTCTAGTGTTTTGCTTAAAGAAATTTAGTGGCAAGATGATTAGAACTTGCACTTCTCTATTTTCCCTTCAATCCCTGTTTTTCAAAATCTCTGTCCTTTCCAGCAGAGCCAAGATCATAACACCAGAAAAGCTATAAAAACACTTCAATACCAAATGCAGTTATTCTGTGTCTCTATGATTCAAATCTCACTCCCTTCTCTAATATAAACAATTAACTCATCTTACAATGGTGCATTCTGTCTTACACATGCCAAGTACAGAACTGCAAAGTTTCTGATCATGTGAGGGTTGATTTCACTTGCTTGCCTCTATCTCTCCTTATTGAGGTCATCAAAGTTTATGTTGCATGCAAGTATGCCTCTTATTCATCTCGGTTATGATGAGGTTGTAGGGCACTGCCATGCACTCTTAGGCCTATTTTAGAAATGAATAACAGAGAGGCAGTTAACTCCGGTGAAAATCACCACAACACCCCTGGGAGTATTCTGGGAAGAGATGCTACATAAACACAAAGAATTCTGCAAAACTGGTTGTGTTCCTCTTCCTAACGTCTCACAAGGTGGGTATGCCGTGAACATTGCTAATCTAAAGCTGTGACTGCCACAAATAGAACAAGCTGATTTTCTCTCCCTGCATGAAGGATGACAACACTTTCCCCCTCATAATTGTTAAGAGGAATTATTCATCAGATTGTTCCCTGAATGCCAGCCTGTACGTATTTGTCTGATTGCCCACACATCTGACCTAAAGACTAGTTTGGAAGACAAAACGTTTTGATGGGCAGGTACTCCCACTGCAAACCCATTGGAAAAGCTAAATGTGTGTATCTGAAATAAGTATGTGGAAATCTGTTAGAGAAGAATATCTAACTGAACAAGGAAACTGGTCACATGCCACCTCTGGACAGCTGTACCTTTACATACAGAGTTCTGGTGCACCTCACCATTGCTTTAATTGTTGTAATAGAAATGATATAACAACATGAAGTGTATCTTAACAATAAGACTTAGAAATGGCAGTCTGGGTAATTTAATCTATTACCAATGACTGAATAAAGAGTTGACTCTTATGAAAGGGCAATCCCCCTGGCACACCATGTAAAATCTATTGCCCCAGTGAAATGTCAGAGTGTCCCTAGAGGGCAATTCCTGGTAGCATTAGAAAGGGTACATAAAGAGGGGTGAGACAGGGTTTCTCATAAAGCATTGCTGAGAAGCTGTCTGTAAAGAGAATTTCAACAAAAGGGATATTTGCATCTGAAAGTACCTTCTTCCTGTGGCTATTTAGGAATGTAAGAACAAATAAAGCCCATGTCAATGGAGTCAGGATACTGCCTGCCTAATTACTAAGGGTGCTATTGCAGGATGGCACTGTATGACTTATGACTTTTATTTGCTATGTTTATTTCTTTTAGATTCTTTACCTGTTGGAAGTTTTTTTTTGGTATAAACATGGATAAACATTGCCATTTGTATGTAGACCTGGGAAATGCTTGTATTTCTAACCCACATGAGAGTCCAAGAACATTTGTTGAAAAATTGCCTACAAGGAATACAGTTTTGTAACTTGTAGGACTTAGGGAAATTTATTTTTCTTTCTAGGATTTTTAAATTACTTTAATGTGCTTTTTTTCTAGAGCACTCTTTTTAGTATCTCATTGACTAATAATAGAAGTCTTGGGTTCAACCTTGTAGGTAAAAGTGTAAAGGGTAAAGTTGATCATAAAGAAAGCTAACCTCCATTTTTATTTCATTATTAAATTAAGGTTGGGAAAAATAAAGGAATAGATAGCCACCTTAAAGTAGTTGATTTTATTACTGAGGCAAAGAAATATGACTTCGTTATATCTTGAAGATGATAACTGACTATTATAAACTATTTCCCATGTTCAAGATGTACTTTCCTCTACATTTACATCAGACTAGCATCTGTTGCTGTGAGCTGTGTTGTGCATGTCTCATCTCAAAGATTTCTTTTTTTCTTTTCTTTTCTTTCTTTCTTTTTTTTTTTTTGAGACAGGTTTTCTCTGTGTAGCTTTGCGCCTCTTCTGGAACTCACTCTGTAGCCCAGGCTGGCCTTGAACTCACAGAGATCCGCTTGCCTCTGCCTCCTGAGTGCTGAGAGGTACCATCACTGTGCACCACTGTGCACCACCACTGCCTGGCCCCAAAGACTTCCTTATAACATTCTTGGGAATTAACTCTGGGAAGGGCAATCTCCCATATTGACAGAAACTTTCCAGTATCAAAACATCAAAAATATAGAAAAGTAAAAGCTTGATTAATGTGCTTTCATTTAAAAATTGTCTTGTTATGACTAGGGTGAATATAGAAAAAGAATATATAGCAAATATAAAAATTCAAAAATTTGGCTTGAACGTTATAGTGCCATTTAGCTCACCTAAGGTTGCCTGAAGTTTTATAATAAAAAGAGACTTTTTTGTTTTGGTTTTGAGATACGGTTCATATAATCCTGTCTGGTCTGGAACTGACTATATAAACCAGGCTGGCCTTGAACTCACAGAATTTCACCTGCCTTTGCTTCCTATGGGATGGGATTAAAGATGTGCACCACCAAGCCTCTAAAAGACGGTTTAATCTATAGTTCTTATATTGACTTACTATTTGCAGTTAATATCTATTAACATTAATAGAACATTCATGTTATGAACTTAATTTGCTAAATGATTTTCTGTAACCAACTTTGTTTTTGTATTTTAAAGAGTAAATTAAAAAATGTCATTAGAAATGAAATACAATGTATGTTTCACATACTTGATGCATAAGGGATAATTCATAAAATGTTGCAAACAGAGGAAAAATGTGCAGTATATATTTTAGGGGCATCTCTGCTAACAGAATGTTTCCCGATAAAATCAGAAGCATAAATACATAACCAACAATTTCCAAGTGGAATCCTCCCTATAGGCACTCACTATGCAGACCTTCTACACAAACAAGGAGGCTTGAGTGTAGATCACTTCACGTACTGAGCCTATGTTCCTGTCAGCAAACAATTATCTGAAGTTATTGAAGGAGAATGAAGCCTGCAATTGCATGATTTCACTCCTAATACAGAACTGAGTCAACAACTTACAATCAGAGTTGGGGGAGGGGAGTCCTCACACAAGAGTTTAAGATTTCGGAACAAAGAAATGCTATTGTTTCTCTTTTCTTCCCAACTTCTGCTGACCCAGTTATACGTTTCCAGGATAATCAAGTCACCAACCTGAGAAGGTGGTGGAGGATGAGAATGTGAAGGGGATTACAAAAGGCTACAGATGCCTGAGCAGGTAGGGGTGCTTACACCAGGCCTGATGACCTGCACCACATCCTACAAGGTGGCAGGACAAAGAAGCCTGCCAAGAGTCAAGAGGTGTCCTTGGACTGACTCTCTCTCTCTCTCTCTCTCTCTCTCTCTCTCTCTCTCTCTCTCTCTCTCTCTCTCTCAATTCAATGAAATAGTTTTTTTTTTTCAAAAGATGCCTAAGAAGCTTTTCTATTTTGACCAGTTGTCACCAATCACAACCAACGGCTTCCTTTTCTCGTTCGTTTACCCTTCTCATGCTCCCTATCCAGATAAAATACCGCCTCATTAACAGTTCACTGGGAATGTTTTCAAAAGTGAAATTATCCGGCTAGAACTATTGATGTATATTGGCTTCCAGAAATGTCTAGAGTCAAAGAGAATTCACTTCAACTGTGTCCAGGAATTACTGACATCTCACAGCTACTGTCTAGAAAGGGTTTCACCTCTGTAATTCTGATTTAATACTTTATTTTTTCATGCACTATATTCATAATGAGTTTTAAAAGATACATATTTCCTGTGAGAAACATAAGGCTTTGATTTTACATTTTGACAAATTTAGAGAGGGCCTTATAACTAATTTTTTTTTGTTGTTCAACCCAAAATTAGGTCTAGAAGCAATGCCTCTAGAAAGAAACATGTCGGTATTTTGTCCCTTCCTTCTGAACTGCAAATTTTCTGATGAATGTTTGAATGTCAGTGGGTATCAATCAAGTGGGAGAAAAAGAATGGCATACTTTATAATGGAAAGTACAAAATGGGGACTGAAGAGATGTCTTAGTCATTCAGACCACTTGCTGCTCTTCTAGAGGAACCCATATGGTGTGGTTCACAACTATATGTACTCCAGTTCCAAGGGATCCAGTGTCCTTTTCTGACAGCCTCTAGAACCAGACACATATGCTGTATATTTATATACATGCAGGCAAAATTCTCACATGTAAAATAAAGTGAATAAATATAATTTTGAAAAATACAATGGGTTGTAAACATCAGTAAATAAAAGCAGTGCATCATTGGCCATATGTCAGCTGTTAGTGGGTGGAAAATTGTGATGTAGTTAAAAACCCCAAAGCATTGGTACCTATAGTTTTTTCCATTCATGTCCTGGCCTACATGCTGATGTGAGCAATTCACATAACTACAATCCACTATCAGACAAAAAGACAGACAAGCCAATGACCATAATTTCCTTTGAAATTGAAGACAACACCTACACAACTCATTGAATATGGAGAGGTTGAGCTGGTGCCTACATATAGCTGCCACCCCTACATTCTAGCATCTTTGGTACAGGAAGGTACTCTGCATGTTATCAAAAGAGAAATGTAAACACCAACCCATCCACAAATCCTTTATTTACAATGGTGTAATACCTGTAAGATATGCCAGGGCAGTGGTGGCACAAAGCTTGTGGGAGGAGCCAACCAATAACTGATCCAATTAGGTTCACTCTATAAAGTGGAACACATACCCCACTGCTTGGGTGACCAAGAACCTGAGACTAGATACCCCAGAGACCTAGGGTAAAAGCAAATAATGATCTTCAAAAACAACAACAACAAAAATGTAGTGATAAAATGACTCTTAATGATGTTCTGTTATACTCATGGATCAGTGCCTTGTTCAGCCACCATCAGAGAAGCTTCCTCATGAAGCAGATGGGAACAAATACAGAGACCCACAGCCAGACATTACACAGAGAATGACAGACCTTGGAACATTCAGGCCTAAATAGGATGTCCCTATCAAATCCCTCCTCTCAGGGGTCAGGGAACCCACAGAAAGAGAAGGCACAAAGAGCCTAAGAGCCAGAGGGGATGAAGGACACTAAGAAAACAAGACCCTCAAGATTAACCTGAGCTAAGTTCATATGAACTCACAGAGACTAAAGCACCTTGCACAGGGCCTACACAAATCTACACCAGGTCTTTTGTGCTTATATTACAGCTTCCAGTTTGGTATTTTTTAATGGATTCCTGAGTGTGAGAATGAGTAGGTCTCTGATTTTTGTACTTTTTCTTGGGCTTTTTTCCTTCTATTGGTTTGTTTTTATCTAACTTCAAAGTGATAGGTTTTTTTTTGCTTTATCTTATTTTATTTTTTATATTAAAAAATGAATGAATGGAAACCCACCACTAGGGTAAAGGTTAATGGAATTTTTGTCAATGGAGTGATACTGGCTATATCAACCACTCCAGGGCAGTCCTCATGTTCAGGAGTAATTAAGCAGCATAAAATGTGTGTGTGTGTGTGTGTGTGTGTGTGTGTGTGTGTGTGTGTGTGCATTTTGTTTTCTTGGTTTGGGGTGGGGGTTATTGTTGTGTTGAGTTTTTGTTTGTTTTTTTTTAAGATAGACCTTAAAGTTGAGTCGGGAGGGGGAGAGAATCTAGAAGGACTATGGGAAGGAGAAGACTATGATCAAAACATGTTAAAATTTAAAAATTGTTTTAAATAGTAAAAAATAAATATATAATAGAAAAAGAGACTGACCTAAAAAAAATGAAAAAGAAAGAAAGGTTCATAAGGAAACTGTTATAAGGAACTGGAACTTTGGTCACATTTTTAGTTGGTGCTGGGTGATGACTCCGGTAAGGGTAATGATGGGATGCCAACCTCAGCATCAATCTCATATCTGTAGGATTAAATTATATGGCAGATGGTCTGAGGCCACTTACACTCTCCTGTATTGCATGTGTGATCTCTGTGGAGCTGTTATTTTTGGTAAAATGATACCCAACATTCAGAAGTTGATTGGACTTTCTATAAAGATACAGTCATAATTGGTGCTGAAATTACACTATATCTTTCATGTCCCTCCTTCCATTGTTATCCTGTCTTCTCCCTCCCTCTTTTTATTTTCAATTAAAAAGGTAAACACATCAAGGCTGAGGAAGGTGTCCGACCATAGGTAATGGGCTCCAGAAAGCCAGCTCATGCACCAGGGATCGATCCCGATCCCACTGCCAGGGGCCCCTCAAACAGACCAAGCTACACAACTGTCTCACTTTTGCAGAGGGCCTAGTCCAGTCCCATGTAGGTTCCACAGCTGTCAGTCTAAAGTTTATGAGTTCCTACGAGCTTGGTTCAGTTGTCTCTGTAGATTTCCCCATCATGATCTTGATCTCCCTTGCTCATATAATTCCTCTTCCCTCTCTTTGACTGGCCTTTTGCGAGGGACTTGGTCCTTACTCAACTGAATGTACCAGGCTTTGCTGACTCCCCATGGGAGGCTTTGCCATTTTGGAGGAGGGGATTGAGAATGAGTCGGGGAAGGGAAGACTGAGGGAAACAGAAACAGGGATGAAAGGGGGATCTGTGGTTGGTATGTGAAATGAATTTAAAAAAATTAAACAAAAAGATGAATACATGCTTAGCTTAAGGGTCATATGAAAAGCAGGCTGTGAACCTATTAGTCCTACTAAGGAGAAGTGTGAGGTCCATAAAGTGTTCTGCCTAGACAACACGGAGTCAAGAGCTAGGACTGATGGGTGTTTAGAATGAAGAGTGATGAGCTAAATAGTCACAGATGTCATAATGCTAATCAGGTCACCATCCATTTTCCTTGCCTACTTAGCTATGATTATGATGTGTCTGATCAGAGAGATTCAATGCTTCTAAGCTCATACATTGTATTTCAGCAGGCATACCCCAACATTCTTAGCCAAGGGCAGGGCCAGAATGAAGGTAGGGAAAGCTATACTTTTAATTCCCCATTACCTCAAACAACCTTATCTTATAATACGATAAAGGTATGCATTTTCTCCATCTCATGAGGCGTGATGTGGAAAGGCAGCTTGAGCTTTCCATTGAAGACAGCTTAAGAACACTGACTGGTCACTATTCTCAATCTCGTCACTTGATAGATACATCATGTATTCCTCCAGTTTAAAGAATGACATAAAGCAGACTAGCAAGTTGGCTCAGCAGGAAAAGGCCCTTGCTGTCAAGCCTCATGTCCTGAGGTCAATGACTGAATCGCACAAGGGATGAGAGAACTCACTTCAGCAAGTTTCTCGCTGACCTGATGTTAGAGCCTCAGTCAGATGACATTACTTCAATGCCCTCCTTCCTGGCATCTATCTGTATTAGTTACTTTTTTGGTTGCTGTCATCAAATACGAGACAAGAAGCTATGTAAGGAAGGATTTATCTTGGCTGTTTGAGAGGATCCAGACCCTATGGTGGGGAAGTCATGACAGCAGATGGCTTTATGACCTGGGAGCATACAACAGCTCATATCTGTATATCTCACATACAGCCAGGAAACAGACAAAGGGGACTGCTGGTATTCTGCTGGCCTTCTCATTTTTCTCTTTTCTTTATTGGAGACTCTAGTCCTTAGGATGAAGAGCGTCAACCTCCTCCGTAACTCTTCTCTGGAAATATTTTTACAGAAATGCCCAAAGGTGTGTTCTCCAAGGAACCTTAGATCCTTCTGAATTGACACTAAAAACGAACCACCACGTATTGTCATAATAATGAGTTCATAGCTTGATAATAAGAGGCAGCTTTTACATTCAACTAGCCTCTATGATTCTGTAACAAACTTATTTAAAAAAAATTCTTGATGGTAAAGTTCAATCATTTCTGTTATGGGGCTGCTTGCATTTGGGTGAAGAAGGGCTGTTTAAAGAGAAATGAGAAGGTGGAGCCAAAGAATGTCCAATAACCTTCCCTCGCATACACGGATGGCACGACACTAAAACAGGTTGAGAGTCTATGACTTTTTTTTCCCAGAATCTCTTTTTGTTTGAGAAATCCCCAGGTTGTCAATTGCTCTAAACTAATCTGTGCTAACCAACTCTCTTCCTTGGAATGCACATTGAAGAGAACAAAACCTCAGCCGTCTTGATAGTAGCAAGCAGCAATCCACAGTTAGTGTTAGCTGAGCCAGGTGCCAAAGTGACTCAGAAGTGATGGTACACAAAATAAAAAGCAATTGTCAACAACCATTACAAAAGAAAGAGCTAAACAGCTTAAAAGTGGAATACACAAAAGAATAAAAGGAAGAAAATGTCTGACTACTCAAAGAAAAATGCATTCCATCATCTTAATTGCCTAAAATTGGGAGTTTAAGGGTTTATTATTTAAAAGTTAAGCCTTTTATGCATAAAAATTACAGTGAAGGTCTGAACAAAGTGTTAAGCAACTAGGGGCACTTTCTGTTAGCCTCAAATTACCTATGAATACAACATACATTGAGCATATGAGTTTAGGACCAAAATGTTTTAATTACTACACAATGTATTCTTTGTCCTTCTACCTGTGCATAGATTTGTTCAACATCTGCTGCCCAGGAAGAGGTCCTCAAATTATATAATTACATTTTTCTCTCTCTGTAGACAAGGATGCTACCCTGAGAAGTGGATCTGGAAGCAGAAAGACACAATTATGTTACTGCCCAGTGGCCAAGCATAACTACCTGACCAATTCCTCCAATGGAGACATTGCCAACTCAATACTGTTGCCTACTTTGCATAGCCACACTCAGAAGAGTGAGATCAAGACAGATTAGTATGGTACAAAGGGTCCTGGTCAAAGTTCTCTAGGACATAATTCACAGGACTTGACTTTTAGGAATGTATGGGATCCTCCTGAGAAATTTCTATTATTTCCATATGCCTATCTGCTTGATTTTCAGAGTGCATACCAGTTACCAACCCTACTAATATCAGTATCACAGAGAAAAATCAAAGCCATAGAGAAATGTAGGGAGGTCTTTACGTATGTTCACAAAAATGGTTTACCAGAAATATAATGAATATGTAAGGTTTCTTTCTATCAAAGAAAACCTTAAGTTTCTTCCTGGAATTCGAACATCTGTATTTGGACTCTTGCTTTTCTACATCTCTTGTAAACACATTGTCATCTTTTTGATCTTTACATTGTCAGCACCATTCCCAATTTACTAGGAAATGGTCTTAGATCAACTTTTCAGGGATGGCCTATGGCTGACTCTTCTCTTTACCTCCATAGCTGCTGTCTTAGTTTTGCTCCTCCCACAGTTATCATAACTAACCCAGCTGTTACCCTTTGGTCATGTACATCTCCTCTCGAGTCTGTTAGTATAGAGAAGACAAGCTTATCTTCATCATCTGACTTCTTCTCAGAGAACTTTATCTCCAGGGCCCACCATGTCCTACAAGTTTTCACAGTAGTGGGGGAGCAGATAATTTCTCTGGATGTCTTTCTGTTTTTAAATGGTTGCCATTAAAAATTACACATAATTCAAATTTTCATGTTCATAAATACCATCTTATTGGTGTGTGTTTAGTAATTTACATACCACTGTAGCTTTAGTCTGCAGTGTCTTACAAAAGTTCACCTATCAGAGGCTTGATCTTCACCTTTGTGCTAGTCAGAGGCATTAGAACTTTCAAGAAGTAGAACATAATGAGAGGTCTTTTGGTCATTGGGAACAAGATATTCAAAGTGATAGTATGATCTCAGGTTTACCTTTTTCTTTTTCATTTCCTGGCCATGAGGTCAATGGGTTCACTTTCCCATGTGTTTTCTGCCATTACCATCCTGTTTTACCTCCCAGAGACTTAGACCCTTGACTGTGGCCTGGAGCCTACAAACTGTGATATACCACCAGCAGCCTATCCTTTAATAAGCTGGTAGTCGTAGGAATTTGCTGTGGTGAACGAAAGCACACACACACACACACACACACAGACACACACACACACACACACACACACACACACACACACACACAGACACACACACAGAGTACAGTTGCTTTCTTTCACACTGTGGCACAGAACTGCCATTTCACAGATGTTAAGGCCTGCAAACCCTGAAATGTTTATTCTCTGACTCTTTACAGAAAATGTCTATGTGTTCTCATAACCTTATGGTGTGGCTCTTCTTTCTTGCTTACCATTCTACTCCCTGGTATACTGTATCATGCTAAACTCATTACTCTGTAAACTTCCGTCCTTTGTATACTGATTTTGTTTGTCCTTGAATGCCATTTCTCAGAATATCCCATGACTTCCTAAGATCATTCTAGAACCTAATTGTACCTTTCCCATGGAGACCTTCCTTAGTCATCATATAGAAAATAGCACTGCTACAAAAGAGAATTGCAACCAAGAAATGTCTTTCTAAGGCACAATGCTTGGTTTACCTAATTCAAATGCTTTTTTCTTCAGATGTTGAAATAATTTTTAAGAATTCATATTCTCTTATTTATTTTATTTGTATGGGTATTTCACCAGAATGTGTGTTTTATGCACCACATAAAAACATTGGTCACAAAGGCCAGAAGGTGTCTGACCTTTGGGATTGTAGTTACAAGCAGTTGTGAAATGCCCTATAGGTGCTGGGAATCAAACCCAGGTTTTCTACAAGATCAGCCAGTGCTCTTCAATACTGAACAAACAATCTCTCAATCCTCCAAAGAATCAGTGTTTGAGCTCAAATATTTAATATTTAATGGCTCTGATTTACCATGGAGGACAACATAAGAATAAAGATGGTCATTTCTTCTCTTATTCAAAATTTCCAAGAACTCAGTATGGGACTCTAAACAAAGAATTTAGTGAAATGTGGTCTCAGTTTTTCTTTCAATTGAGTTAATGATTATTCTCCCGAGACTGTTTTACAAATATGGTTGACTAAGAGTACAACAATGATATTAAAAAACAAAACAAAACTGAAGAGTAGCCAAATATCCCTGCAACATATTATGGAATACACCACTCCTCACCAAAATTTCATGTTTTTCCCTCATAAGTTGTACAAGTAAATCATTGTTTTGTTTCTCTAAAACTTGCTATATGTCTATCTGGCAATGATACCAATATATGAGCTATTATAAAATATTATCACAAGCTAAGTGACTTAAAACAACAGAAATCCAATGTTTCACAATTTTGGAGGTTAGAAGTTCAAAATAAAATTACAATTCTCCCTCTGAAGCCTGTAGGGATTTTTTTCTTGTTCCTGGTAATTAACTAGCAGTTCTGGGTTTTCTTAATGTGCAGAGGCATAACTCTGGCCTCTGCCTCAATATCCAAGGGCACCCAAATCCAAATCCCTCTGTGTGTCTGTCTTTATGTGGATATCTTAAGAGTATCATATTGGATTAAGAGCCTGTCTTACTTCAGTATAATCTTAACTAATTATATCTGCAATAGCTCGTTCCCAAATAGTTCACATTGTGAGATAGTGGAGATTATCAACAATCACTATTTTCGGGGTGAGTTCACACTTTAATTCACTATAGTGTCCAAATATGTAGGGAGCAGGATTTCTTCCCTACAATTCATTTTTATGAACACAGAGTGTACTTCTTACTTATACCAATGAAGATTCTTAGACATGTACTTGTTAGTTACTACTGTAAATAATATTTATTTGATGACTGAAAACTTCTTTCAGTGACATTTATATTGTTCAATAAGGCACTGTTTGAATTCCAAATTGAAGAGTAGAAATGAGCAACTGATGACTTAAGTACCTATCATTTACAGGGCATCATATACTTATGACCACCTAGTCAGTTATTGATGGAGTCTTTGTAATCATTAGATGACTAAGTTGGAATCTCATCAGTTTGTTCCAAAGCAGAACAAAGCTCACTGTGTTAGTTAATTTACTCACCACTCTTACAAATACCTGACAGTGGGTGACTAACTGCTTTAACCAACAGTTTGAGGGAATACAATTCCAAATCCTGGTAGAGTCAACATGGTGCTGAGTGCATAGGCAGCTAGCTGGTCACATTCTAGCTATAGTTAAAAAGTAGAGGGTGATGAACATTGGTACTCAGTTACCTTTCTCCTTTCTTACTCTTTATTTAATCTGGGACTCCAGCCTATGTAGTGGTGCTGCCTACAGTCAAGGTAGGTCTTACTTTCTTAAGCCTTCTTGAAAATGTGCTCACAGACATACCCAAAGGAACTTCTCTAACATGATTTTGCATCTAGTAAAGTAGACAATCAGGATTAACTAGCATATTCAGGAAAGGTGACTTATCCAAAGCTCTTTTAGTAGAATTCAATGTTCAATGTTCCCAATTATTTTTTATTAGTATATATTAATTGTTCAAAATAATGGGTGTCATCATGACATTTTAGCAGTTCTAGATCTCAAAATACATCTGTGTGATGGGAATATATCATCCATTTAATAATGAAGTACAATAACCAGAAGGCAAGCTTGAGATTTATGTACTTGGAAAAATTAAAAAAAAAATGGCTTGAAGTAATTTATACTTTTTTTTTTGGTTTTTCGAGACAGGGTTTCTCTGTGTAGCTTTGCGCCTTTCCTGGGACTCACTTGGTAGCCCAGGCTGGCCTCGAACTCACAGAAATCCGCCTGGCTCTGCCTCCCGAGTGCTGGGATTAAAGGCGTGCGCCACCACCGCCCGGCTAATTTATACTTTTTAAACCATTTATGTGACACACTGATATCAGTTGTATATTAATATCTCTACAAAAGTCAATGGAGTCACAAACTGTGCAAACCTGCAGTTATAAAGACTGATAATATACAAAAAGGTCCTACTAGTTTAAAGAGAGTAGTGTACATCTAAGTGTAGACAAAAATCTCGTAAAGTTTTGTCAGGAGGATAACTACACAGAGTATAAATTATGAGTTTATAGATGAAGGCTATTTCCAAATACCTATGACGATGGCAGTGGAAAAACCAATCCTGGTCTGTAAATATTGACTGAAATCCAAGTATGAGGTTGCCAAATGGGAAGACAAAATTTTAAAGAGCAAGATAACTATAGAGGAATGTAACCCAAAGTCACAGTCTTCAGAGGATGGAGGAATTATCCATGTGAAGTAGAGATTTTAGAGTCCAGCTACAAAGCAGGAAGAGATCAGAGGTGAATGTATTCCTGAAAAGATTCAGGAGACATGATATGTAAATTTTATTCTCTTTAAGTGGAAAACACTTTCTAATTGTGCAATGCATAGGCAGCAGGAAACTAGCCATGTGGGTTTAAAGTATCAAAAGCAAGATCCAGGGAATATAACCAAAGCATCTGGATTTAGAAAAACAGTACAAGAAACCAACAACACCCAAAGCTGAAGGAAGGTGAACACCTGAACATGAGCATGTTTCACATATTCACAGGTAAGAACTCCAGCAGCTGACTAACAATGAAAGCAATATTGAGAAGTTGGTAAGTGAGAAGAAACATCAGTGACTGACTATATACCACATGAAAGATAAATAAGTCAGTCACGCCCTAGAAAGTGATCACTTTCTAGGATGGAAATTTTATTCAAGCATGGAATAAAAAATGCAAAAACTCTTGAAACACTGCAGGATCCATTGTCATAGAAATATATAATCTGTAATAACCAGTTTATAACAAAAACTTACTAGACATTCATAGAAACATAAAAGAGAAGCAAAGACAGGACATAGAAACTGACTTCCAGTAGTCTCAGGGGCTAGAGTTAGCTGACAAAACTTTGATCACAGCTACTATACATATGTTCAAAGAATTAAAGGAAGTATTATGTTCTAATTGAAAACTTAAGGGAATTTAAACAACTAAATGGGGGAAAACAATCT